GAGAGAGAGAGAGAGAGAGAGAGAGAGAGAGAGAGAGAGAGAGAGAACTTTTCATGAAGGGTCCTATTCCATCCACCTTATTCTCTTAATTCAGCTTGTTTTTTTCTATTTTCACTCTTTTTTGYTCTTTAGCCTCCACTTTTTGTCTTTTTATATTGCTAATTTTATATTGCGTTTTCATGCTTTGTCCATGTTTTTTCCAGCATGTCTGCTATCCCACTTTGGCTCCGTTCACACTGCATGCAATAACGCTCAAATCCAATTTTTTGCAAAAAGATATTTTTTCGTYGCATGAACGTTCAAATTATATTTAAAATGCGACCTCCATCAGACTCCAGTGTGAACTCTCCACTGCACTCATGCAACTYGCGCAGAAAATGTTGTGACATCTCATTCAGCTCRCTGTTTACAGAATTAGCCGATGGATGCTAATTGCTAGTATGTTGAATTTGGTTGAGGTTGGTATCAATACTCTAAATACTTGGATCGATCAGCTCACCCCCACCTTACTGATGTAAAACTCAGACAAAATGTGACACAAGCTTTCAAGACTGCAGTGGCATTGAAAAACATCAGATGTGTGTCTGATTTAGTACCACATATGGAAAAGGCCTGTTGTGAACCATAGTCTGCTCTTCATCTTTTCTTTTATCATCTAAAACCATCAATAACTTCAATCCACCTGCTTTAATAAAGTCTTGTTTTGTTTTTTCACAATGCAGACGTCTTGGCCATCGGGGATCCTAACCAGTCCACCATAATGGTTGTGTCCGTAGCTGGGGGAATTGTCCTCCTCATCTTCCTGGTGACCTGCTTTGTTGTCAGTGGAAGGTAAGCTCAATACATGACCAGCGGGACAAAAAAAGGAGTGATTTTTAAACTTGAAGTCTGGTTAAATGTTTTTTTGTTACCCTTTTTAAATCCCACTTTGAGAAATGACATTTCATTTATGGTGAATGTGAACACTCGCTTTATCTTGAGTTCATTTTACACACTGATACTGCAAATTGTATTAAACCCACAGCTGAAATGATTTAATTTAGCAATAATAAGTCTTAAGTTAAGCACTTTCCAAGCAGTGTTGCATCTATTAGATCCTTTTTCAAACTATTAATGAAAAAAAAGGTTATCGTCTGCTGCCAAAGGGGTACRTGGACAATAATATTTCAAGAACTACACTGAGTTAATTTTATCTGTCTGTTAGCAAAATAGCTCATGAACTGCCCGACAAATTTCCTACAACTGATTAACTTTTGGAGCCAAACAAATTCAAATTGGCCACCACCTGACTGAAAACACAAAAATGTCTCTAATTCAGTTAATTTTGTAGATATTGTTCTCAAATGTAATGTGGTAGTAGCTGAGAGTTGTTCACAGCAAACACACCATTATTGCACAAGTCTGAACACACTGTTTCTAAAGTTTAACTAAAGCAGCTATTATTTCTCAATTTAGAGTTGTTTTCAGTGAAAATGAACTTGTGGTCAGCTTTTAAAGAGTTAGACTCTTTCAGAAACAACAAGACTTGAGGAAACTGGCTTGAATGAAACTATGTTTTTTATTATATGTGTGACAAAAACAAACAGTGACCAAACTTAAAATTCATATTTTAGGTCTGAGCAGTTCAAATAAATTCTATTTTATAAATTTTACACTACTGTTTGYCTGGGATTATGTGACAATTTTGGTACAAATACTGTATTATTGATACTCCAGCAGGAAGTGCCTAAAACTGTGCTAGAAGTGCTACAGCTAGTTAGCAGCTGTTATTTGAGCAAGTGGCATTAATAAGCAATAATAATAATAATAATAATAATAATAATAATAAGCAACAATTGGTCTACCAATAAGGGACTGTAGTGCATTTAGTCTTCACTCGTGGTCCTCACTTTATCTTTGATATATTAAACATGAAATACAAGTAACTATACACAAAGTACTACAAATACTTGATGAATTTATCGAATAACCCATGAGCCTTTGTTGCCTCAGTGTACTTGCATTCTTCTCCAAGTGTACAAGAAGAAAGCAAAACAAAAAACAAAAAATTTATAATTTTCAAGTGCACTGGCTGCTAG